TTATCACTTCTCGGCAGGCAGGCGACACCTGACCCGTCAGAAACCGGCACTCCTCTTCAAACCTCCTGGGTCAAACTGCCCTGCCAGTTCTCTGGCCAGTCTGCTCGCCTGCTTCTCTGCATGCACCGACCCCCCGCCAGCTACTACCTGCTCAACCTCTTTGTCTGAGTAAATTACTGAAAATCAGTCAGAGCGTCACGTCTGTTTCTGGGTCTTATCTGAATCGTGACACTGGTAGAGTTTTGCAATATAAACGTCTTAAAAATGAAGGGGGTAGATTTTTTCCAGCGAAGCAATAACGCAATACACAGCAGAGAATATAAAAATATTCTCTTTCTGAAACAAGCTGTAGTTGCTCCTGCCTCTTTAAGCAAATGACCACATGTAGAGAAGAGAGAAAAAAATGTTCTAACTGGAGAACCAGGGCGAATATAAGGTTTTGGCTCCCGGGGATTAAAAAAAAACTTTGGCCATGTTAAACTTTGCAACACTCTAGAAATGACAGAAATTCAGCACAATAGGTCCCTTTAACTGGAGCGACTAAAATGACAGTTTGAACGCAGATGTGTTGGAGAAAACTTGAGTGAACGATTTGCTGGTGTTTTTTTGGAGATTTACCTTTTTGTGATTATCTGTTTTCTGTGCAAACTCCGGAGAGACCACATCACTAGAAATACTGCGGCCTTTTGTCTGTGACGCTTACTGTGTTACTGTGTGTTGGCTCATGAGTCAGTCCAGAACACAAGATAATCATAGAAGCAAATCAGGGTCATTAATATTTTGAACTTGTGAAATGAAATTCACATCGATTCTCTCTGATCTCATTAATCCTTTTGTCCCATCCATTGCCTCATGCTTTAATATTTCTGATCAGTCTGTCGCTGTAAGAACATATTTAAATTTTAAAACAAGCTAGATTACACTAAAATCCAGTAAAAAATATAAAAATAAACTCTTTAGGACCACAAAATATATTATTTCTGTATTAAAACTGCATAAATAATTGGGCATGAAGCTTCTTGATCTTCTTCCTCTGTTGCTGTGTGATGTGGTCGTCCGTTTAACATCACTATGGAAAGTCCACGGTTTAAAAAGACAGGACATCCAGAACATATAAGTCTTGTATATGGCTTTTTTGGGATGGTGTTCTGCAGCTCTCTCTCTCTTTGTGAATTCAGGCCTTCAGCCATTTCTTTTTAAAGGGGATTAACCTCTTGACCTTCTTTCCAGCACCGCTATAGGTATTCAAATGAGTTCAGGCTTTAGGATTCAAATGTCTGATCTTTCTTTGTTTAGTCTGTCTGTTGTGTTTGAACATCGAGTTGTTTTTTGTCTACATGATTGTGTGATTGGCATGAGTTGACCTTAAAGGGCGCTCCCACATTTCCAAGGTCTTTGCGCGCCGTTTTCAAAATGCACACAAACAATGACAGAGGACCTCTGATACGGAGTGATAAGTCCGTGTTTTTGTCCACCGTTGCCCATTTTCACGGGATTTATTGTCTGTTGTGGGGCGCCACTTCAAAAATGCATTAATTCTCCCACGTTGCTTTGCATTTCAGCCTGTCGATTTCAAGATGCATTCGTGTGTGAGGAGTCGGGTGGAAGTTTCAGAGGTTCATCTTTTCCTGACAGGCACTTTGCAGGCCTTGAAATGACGTCTATGGATATCCTGATATTTATTAAACTTTATTTTTGAAACTTTATTTTGGGGCGTCAAAAGCCAACCTTAGGGTCAAAGGTCACCATCCATCAAATTTTGTCAGAAAGTGTTGCACCATACTCACCCTTCAGGTAAAAAAGTAAAACAAAAAGTCCCTGAACCTACAATTGTTTTGGCGTAGTAGAGACAACGCAATATGTCCCATTATACCATTTCAGGCCCTCACCACTCATTCATATTGTCACAATACTTCTGTCACGACACGATATTATTGAACGTATAGTGGAGAGCGCGGGACTGAACATAAGATTTAATGAGATCGCAGAGAGAGAAAAGTTTTATACGCCGATCAGCCGTCACATTATGACAGGTGAAGTGAATAACACTGAGTGGGTGGGAAACACCAGGCTGCAGGTGAACACTGTGTCCTCAGAGTTGATGTGATGAGGATTTGAGCGACTTTGACAAGGGCCGGACTCTCTAAACCGGTCTGCAGGGGTCGGTACCGATCAGAAGTGGACCGGGTCATGGAGGGCCAAGGCTCCATTTTGCCACCAGCACAGCCCTGACCTATAAAGGCATGGACTCCAGTGTGTATGTGTAACAGTGTAAATTATTAAAACATATTTATGGTTAAATTCCTGTTAGACTTGAGACTTTTTAACCATGGTCTTTCTACGCTGTATTTTATTTTGTTGACATTCACAGCAGAAGGCTGTTTCGTTGTCAGTGCGGTGCATTATGGGTGACTCACAGTAGTTGGGGATGCCATGCTATTTGTAAGTTGGGATGCTTTCTGCTCGGACACATATTAACCCAATAAATAGCCGTGTTTCCATCAGCGTTTCTTATCAGAAAAGATTGATGAAAAAAAAAATCCTTAATTTCGCTAAAAAAAGTTTTTACGCTCGCTTGAGGTGGTTTTTGCCTTTGTGAAAACAGAGTAAATGTGCTTAATGGGAGATGGAAACACTTTCCCCGAATAAGTTCTGACGTAGCGAACTTGTGACTCACGACTGATCAGCTGTCTCTGCTGTCGGCGTCTTGCTCGGTTGTGCAGAGTTCTGCACGCCTGCCGAGAATTTCATGCACCTCGCAGCTGGTAACGCTCAGTTTTGCTGAATCTCAATGAATGCTACTTAAACTGAGTATAATAAAATATTAACGACTCTAAACGTTCAGAAAATATATACTTTGAGTCTTTGATCACCATTGATGAACCCCACAAAGGATATTTGGAGGTTCATGCAAAACTCAGCGGATATTCCCCTAACGTGTGAGACATGGCTGGTAGCAGTTTACCTGCTTGAAACACCATTTTTCTCAGATCAATGGCCATCAGGTTCACGCGACTGGTTTTATTTCTGGTTTGGAACCCAGACGCCTTGTTTATTACAGCCGTGTGTAACGTCAACATCACACGTGGCTGGTTTATTTGTTCCAAACCAGCAGATGGAAATTCATAGTTATATTGCTCTACAAGCTATCGTTCATTTAATGTGTTGTAACAAATGGCATTTTGGCGAGCTGCTGACGAGCTCTGTGGCGTAAGTGACAGACTGGTCTGTTAATCTGGAACCTTGGTTTCTAGTTTGAGCGCCATCTGACCAACTTCTCATTCATGATGAACAACTGTGTTTGTGTCCCAGTGTTGCAGAGTAAACGATTCTGAGTGCTCCATCCATCTTGACTCCAGCGAAGTGTTTGGGGGAGAGCAGACAGAACAAGATAGAGAAAATGTGCACTGCGTGTTCTGACAGCTTTCGCTCAGAACCAGCATAAAGTTGTTCACTTACAGTAGCTCGCTCTGATGGATCGGACCACACGGGTCAGCCTTCACTCCCCACGTGCATCACTGAGCCTCTTACATAAAGACCAGCAGGCGCTCGTAATCTTATGAAGGATCGTTGGATCTCATCAGAGGCACCTGAAAGTCTGATCTGACATGAATAAGGAGACACTGGAGTGAAGCTGAGGAGGATTAGAGCACTTTTGACTTTCAGGCTTTTGGTGTTACCAGAAAACAAAACATTACAACAATCAAGTCTGGATGAGACGAAGGTGTGAATTAAGATCTCTGCATCAGCCTGGACAGGAGAGACCTGACCTGTTGTTTCCCTCCCGACTTCCTGGAGGCGCCTTCCTGTTTTGTTTTTTTAAATCATCTTGATTGCAAACAGAGGGTTAAAAAAATCACATGGGACAAAAGAGCTCATGACGCAGTGGATAAGACCCATGCCTTTGGTGTGAGAGACCCGGGTTCAATTATCCACTGTGACACCAATGTGTCCCTGAGCAAGACACTTAACCACTTTGCTCCAGAGGCGTGCGACCTCGCATATAACACTTGTAAGTTGCTTTGGATAAAAGCTAAATAAATACATGTGTAGTGGCTATTTGTCCATAAACTTAAACAAATAATAACAAACTTCTCAAATGGCCACTTGAGGCTACGTCATGGTTAGGCTTTACGCAGGTTCAGAGGTACCAAAGCAAAGTGATGTTCATAACAAGATTGAGTTTGAGGAGGTTTATTCACACACATAAGCAAGCTCACAGACATTTCCTCTCTCACGCTGGTAAAAAACCATATGCCCTCGTGCCTGAAGTACCTCCCACCTTGACCTACTTATGCAAATGAACATAACACCATGTGACCAACAAACGACAATACAAGTAAAGCATAAATACAAAATAAACCAAATTAACTTTAACAAGAAAAGAAATAAATTAGGCTATAAATTAACTTAATCCCAAAATAAACACAAATAAAAATATAGCTCCAACAACATGGAAAGAGTATAATACACAAATAAAGTAATCCAAAGCTTTGCCTGTATCACAAAAATCAGAAAGAGGACCACATGTTGACAGTTTTCACAGCCCTTTTGTTGTTGGAATTAGAAATTAAATTGCCATAATGCACAATCTCATGGAGAAAAAGTACAAAGTTAGATTTTTTACTGCCTAATTTACATTTATGTATGTGGAATTTCCCCATCAGAATTAACACATTTATTATAGAGTAATTATTTTCTGTAAAAACAAATTCTCCCACATTATAGAAATGTGGTCAACGATGAATCTGCTGAAGTTTCAGAAAAACGTCCTGGTGTGTGAAAACAGTCTCTGGCTGGTCGCTTTTAGATTGAACCATGTAGTGATTGGCAGGGTAACTTCTGTGAAGTGGGAGGCACCTGCCTTCCCGTCGTGTCCCTCCTGACCGCCAGGAGGCGCCTTCCCGTCGTGTCCCTCCTGACCGCCAGGAGGCGCCTTCCCGTCGTGTCCCTCCTGACCGCCAGGAGGCGCCTTCCCGTCCGGGAAGAACCTGACCGGAAATAAAGCTCACCGGAAGTGTCGTTGGTTCAGTGTGCAGCTCTCGGGCTGGCGGCGGGACGGTGCTGTTAGCTGACGCGGTTTCTTCTCGGTGTCTATAAGCTGCGGGGCTGCAGGTAAACCCGCGCTGTTTGTGCTCCGTTAATGTTTGTGTTTCATGTAAACCGACGCCAACACACACGGACGCCAACACGAGCCCGAACTGCGCCTGCGTCAGCACGCCGGGCTAGCGCCGATGCTAACCCGATAATTAGCCGCTGTTAGCTTGGGCTAGCTGCTAACTAGCTTCTTTAGCCTTTAGCTCAGAATAATTTCAGTGTTTGTTCCTATTATGTGAGTATAGAGACTTAAATAAGCAACAGCTGTTTGATTGAACCCGAAGCTGCTTGTTGTTTTAAAGTAAAGGTAACTAGTTTTAAACGTTGCTGGTGAAGCTAACAGGCTAACTAGCGGCTAATGCTGCCGAGCTGTTTGTGTCTCAACATTTGACAACTTTGGCATCTTTTCTTCCATTAAACTAGTCAATATGTGTCAAACTAAGTGGTATAAATACATGTTTAAACTATACCCTCAGTGTAGATCACTGAAAAGCGCAGTAAACAGTCGATTTATTGATTATCTGACGGTCATAAAATGAATCAGCTGCTGTTTAATAATAGCAAAGTGTTGCAGGAGTTTTCATTCTCACATGTTTTCATGTTGTCTGGCTGCTCCTGCTGCTTCTCAACCTTTAAACTGGATCTCCTGGTCGGACAAACGCGGACAGGCAGTTTGAGTTTCCCCTGGTCTTTTATAATTTGAACTGGTTATTGATTAATTATTGTTTGTGAACTAATTTCCGGTAGAAGAAGATGGAGGATGAAAACAAGACAAACACAGCTTGGTCATTTACACCAGAGACGCTGGGTCACTCTCTGAAAGCATTTGTTAAACATGTAGATAAATGAGAAATGAGAAATCTGTTGGGAAAGGTTTAGTTATATTTAGTCGAATATGGAAGAAACAAACACGCATTAATATGCAAAGAAAAGTAACGTAAGCTAAAAACAAGCTGCTGATCACTGATTTATATTCCCTTATGTTTTTATATTATGCACTGTGGTGGCAGGTGATGAGAGACAACCTTACGTTTCTTCTGCGTATGTAAATACCAAGGCTACGTTATAGTTTATATAACTGAGCATTGAATATTTCTTCAAAATAGTGTTGACTATCTTCTCGTCTCGCTCGCATGACTCCAACATTGTGCATCGTCACGTCTCGTGACAAACTAAGTGTATATAAGCGGGTCAAGATAAATACAAGTGTCTCTAATATCTAAAGATGATGAAAGTAACATTATCCCCAACTGGATTCATTTAGCAAACAACCCAAAGTGTATTTGATGTCCTCTGTGTGTTTTCAGTCCAATGGGAGACAGCGATGACGAGTTCGACAGGAGGAGGCGGGACAAGTTCAGGAGAGAGAGGAGCGACATGGAGCGGTCGAGAGAGAGGGAGGAGAGGCGGAGGGACGACTGGCCCGACAGGTACGCACACCCGAGCGCACACACTTTAACTTACTGTGTGTGTGCGACAGGCGTGTTAATTAAAGTGTGTTTTCAGGGAGTGGGACCGCGGAAGAGAGAGGAGGCGGGACTACGATCGTGGTCGTAGAGAGAGATTTTCTCCTCCCAGACACATCAGCCCTCAGCACAAGCGCATGAGGAGAGACTGGTGAGTGATGCCGCCGCACGGGTGGATTTATCCTCAGCGGGTCGCGCCAGAACCTCAGTAATGTTTGAATTTCATCCAGGGACGACCACCGGGGCGAGCCGTACCGCTACGACATGCCGTATGGAGGAGGCGGGGGTCCGTTTCCGGGTGCGGGACCTCAGGGCTGGCACCCCGACATGCCCCACCTTCACCCACACCATGCAGGGCACCCGCTGCAGGGCAGGTGAGCTCAGCACACGGTGACTGGATTCACTGGTAACTCTTTCTGCCCCCTATGAATATCCCACACAGCAGCCTGTCAGGTACGAACAGAGGGAGGCGAGGAGATCGACGGCATGTGGCCTGTAACAGTCGTGCACAATCAGCAGGACTCTGAGGATATCAGTACCTCTGACGTCCACCCAGAATAAACGTCTTCTACGCATATCGAAGTAAAACAGACCCTTACGTCGCCACACGATTGGCTGAAATATGTTTCCTGCTTTTGCTGTTAAAAGCAGACGCGGGAGTGGCGTGATAACCGCCATCTTTACTGTTACAGGCTTTCCCCATAGAGTTGTATTGAGGATGTGTCTCCTCTAAAATGCCTCTGACTAATCTGCCGACTATTTTCACGATTAATCGTTAAGTCTATAAAATTACAAGGAATTTGTTATAAATGCTCATCACAACTTTCTCTTCATCATAAATGACAAACAACAGCAGCAATAACTCAATTTAAGCCTGAAACGATTAATCGATTATCAAAATATTTGTCGGTTTGCCCGACGAATCGTTGCAGCTCTATTGTCATATAAACATAAAAGTGACGGGAACGTTAACGTTCGAACAGATTTGCTCATTGTGACATTTGGTTTCTCAGGTTGGGGATGATGGATCCAGATCTCCCTCCTCCTGGTCCTCCCACCATGCGGAGCTTCAAGGTGAGTCCAGCACCTGTTGTGGAGCATTAAGGCGTTCTGCCGCTGTGTAAACACACTGTGTCTGTGCAGGAGTTCCTGTTGAACATGGAGGACAGCGTCGACGAGACGGAGTCGGTGAAGCGCTACAACCAGTACAAACTGGACTTCAGGCGACAGCAGCTGCAGGACTTCTTCCTCCAACACAAAGACCAGGAGTGGTTTCGCTCCAAGTACCATCCCGATGACATCACGGCGAGGAAGGCGGAGTCTCTGGCCGCCCTCAAGACCCGGCTGGGCGTCTTCCTCTTCCTGCTGGACAACAACTGGCTGGACAACGTGTCGCTGGACATGGAGCACGCCCCCGCCATCATCAAACTGCTGGACGCAGGTAGAGACGTTAATGTTCACGTTCACATGCGTGTGGTTTACTGCTGTCAGGGGCTCAAACGCGCTCTGCTCTGTTTCTCTGCAGCCGTAATAAAGATGGAGGGAGGTACGGACCTGGACCTGCAGGTCCTGGAGGTGCCGGCTGCTCCTGCAGCAGCTGGAGGGGATGCCAGCAGCAGCGGCGCCGGCGGTGCGGTGGCAGGTGGAGGTGGCGGGGAGAAGAGTCAGGGAGATCCCAGCAGAGGAAACGGTCAGACCGGCTCGCCGTCGACGAGCAGTCGGACAGAGGCGACGACCAGCGGAGAGGCGGGCGAGATAAAAGACTCCGATAAGGTCGGACACGTGGTCTCATCCTGCAGCCGACCCGTCACACCTGCTCTGCCTTTAGTTTGAGTGTGATAAGACGGTTTTCTTTCCCCCCTCAGGACTGCGAAGAAGAAGCCAAGCAGAACGGAGAGGAGAAAGACGAGGAAGAGGAGGAGGAGGAGGGGGAGGAGAAGAAGGATGAAGAGGAGGAGGAGGAAGAGAAGACGGCTAAGAAAGTGAGTCGGTCCTCTGGTTTCTGCTGTTAATGCTGATGATGGCGCTGGTGTTAACCCCGCCCCCTTCCTCTCAGGGCAGGAAGAGGAAACGCAGCGTGTCTGCTGACAGCGGCGAGGGCAGCGCCTCAGACTCTGACTCCTCCCACTCTGATGGGGAGAAGGAGGAAGACGAGGAGAAGGACGAAGAGGAGGAGGACGGACAGGACGGTAGGAACAACTTCATTTACAAAGTGACGTCACCGCGGTCTCAGAAAAAGATCTTCACCAAAGAAACCAGTCAAAGTGTGTTTGTTGCATTTGATAAACTTATTTTAACGTGTGTGTTTGTCAGAGCGGCGTAAAGAGCGAGGGAAGGAGCGAGAGAAGGAGACACCAGCGAAGCCCCGCCCCCTCCACCTCACCACCTCATTGTTCATCCGAAGCATCCCGCCAGAGGTGTCCAAGGAGGAGATCACTGCTGTGAGAGCGCACGCACATCTGTAAACACACACACCACAGCGGTGCACTATGAAGCCAGATGAGCCGGAGTTTTCACCGTCTTTTAGCGTGATCGCCATGGTAACTCGCTGAACACCTGACGTGCTCTTTAGGTCGTGGTCAGAGTTTCGGCCGTAACACCTGATTCTTCTCCTGCCGTTATTCTCTCTGAGCGACACGTTGAGCTGAGCAGTTAAATCGATTTCTAAAAAGCATCGATGCTTCGTTTAATCCATGGAACTTTACAGCACAGTGCAGGGACATTTATTACTGTCGCACATCGCGCTTACGCTGCGAACACGGCGTGATTATGACGCCGTTGTTTGCAAAGTGGAGGAAGAGAGAAAACGGCAAGCCAGGAGAGGAAGCTGAATGTAGAGCACGCCTCCGTCATGTGCACGGACGGTCTGGCGCGTTCTGTCGACATTATCAATCAACATGACGGGTTTTTGACCTTTTTGTGAATTGAGAAAAAAAAACGCCTTTAATAGTTAAACACATTTACAGTACAAACCTCGTCAGCGAGGTCAAATGTTCCTCTGCCCGTAGCTTAGCAACAGCGAGCCTTCACCCTGAGCTGAAACTAAACGAGTGCACATAAACGAGGCGACGACGGTTCTGCAGAATATTTCACTCGCTTATGCCCCTAAAAATAGATACTTGCCAAAATGATTTGACACCGTAGGCTTCCACCCGATCCCGCTGCTATTCGTTAAAAACAAAAAGCCTGGCTGGCCATCGGGGCGCCGAGAGAGATCGCTCATTGTACTAAAACAGCGCGTCGGGGGGAAACCCCATCGCTACCGGTGGACAGATTTCTGCCGTCGCATGATGTGTGAGGAAGGACTCCGGAGTCGATCACCAGCATCGTGCTGCCCGTCATCTCTGAGGGTTAAACTCACGGAGAGCCTGGCTCACCTCGCTTCATAGTGCACGCCGCTGCACGCGACAGCTGACCCCGTACTAACAAGATTCTTGTTTTTAGTTGTGTCGCAGGTACACGGGCTTCCTGCGGGTGGCGCTGTCTGACCCTCAGCCTGAGAGGAGGTAAGAAAGTTTGGGCTGGGAGTTTAGTTTGTGCTTCTGGAAACTTTTAACGTTTACAGAGAGACACAGTGGGAGGGTAACTTTAAACCGCCCCCCTTCTCGGTGTTTCCTGGTGGTTTAAGCTGATTTTGTGCCCAAGAGATGATCCAGATGTAGTAAATATGTGAACATCTCTCTCTGCAGGGTTTGTGCTGCTTCAGTATTTATCTTAAAACAAATCAGCCTGAAACGTCTTTTGAAGTTTGACGTTTGCTTTGAGAGTTTTGATCCTCTAAGGACACGACGAATTAACAAGTCAGGATAAATAAATAATCCTCGTAAATGTTTAGTAAGCAGCCTTTAAACCGGCATTCTTGCTGGTTGTGTGTCGCACTTAAATTGGTCCCTGATGCACCAAGAGATCTAAAGTCGTGCAGCACGTGGATTAGAGGCGTTCAGTGGTTGTTGGTTGTTCTTTTCATGCTACTTGTGTTTGATTGGCGTAGATTTGTAAGGGGTGGTTAGAGGAGAGGCGACAGGAGTCAGAGGGGAGAGTGTAGCTGCTTTCATAAAGAATCTGGATGGATCAGCACACGCAGGCAGCAGAGATCGTCTGAGCTACAGAGAGCTGGAGGGGAGGAACAAGTGTTTCGCAGTGAAAAAGTAGCAGCCTGCTCTCATTGGCTGGATGTCGAGTCGGCCGACTCCTCCAGATATTTGGCGTGCTGGATATCTGGCAGACGTCGGCGATGTGTCGGGGAGCCGTGTAGTTACAACCGATCTCAGAACCGGGAGGCCAGAAGAGGCTGATGCAGTGTGTCGTAAGAAATTCAAGACTTGGATAAAAAGGCTTGAAGTTTTACCAACATGTTTATTCTCAACAGTTTCAGGGTCAGAGATTGATGCAGAACAGAGTCCCAGTCTGTTACCAGAACAGAGTCCCAGTCTGTTACCAGAACAGAGTCCCAGTCTGTTACCAGAACAGAGTCCCAGTCTGTTACCAGAACAGAGTCCCAGTCTGTTACCAGAACAGAGTCCCAGTCTGTTACCAGAACAGAGTCCCAGTCTGTTACCAGAACAGAGACCAGAGTTGTTTGGGTGTCTCTCTTCTCTCATTATTTTCTGACCTTTCTGCATTTGGTGGATTATCACTTTTGTTTCACTGCCATTGTTTCATTCTTGGCCTGCTTACTGCTGATCATAACATCTCAACCACAACCTGACTTTGTGAAATGAGCTGGTGTCTTTCAATTAAAAGGTCTGAAACACATGGATATGTGACACAAAAGGCAAGTTATTATTTTGGGGGGGGGGGTTTCCATCTACAAGCCAACTTGGCAGGTGAGCCAAAAAGTTCATTTCCACCCCCAGTAAGTGCAGGATACACTGGAAGTTAGCCGGAAGACATGCAAACAACTCCAACTAGAGTTTTCTCTCTCCGTCCTCCCCGTCTCAAATCATTAGCTGCTTGTCAGTGCAGATTTAATTTAGTTTGTTCAAGTTTTATGTTTGAAATTTCATTGCACTAAATTCAAACAGTTTTTTAATAATGATTTTTAAACGATAGACGTTTTTCTGTTGTCGTCATCATCATATGTGCGTGGTAACACGTGGCTGTTTTTATTCTGCTGGTTAATTTCTCTGTTAATGATTTAAAATGCAAGAAAGTCACGATAAATCTGTTAATGACATTTACCATCACTGAGACACAGAAACCAGACAATGTTTTCCCAATAATATAATATCAGAAAAGCTGCTGGTTTATTTTCTAATCCAGGGCTCGACAAATAAGTCTGACATTGGGCCAAATTTCTTTCGTCATGTGGTTCGCCGCGTTTGATCCGCTTTCATAACCCTTTGTTTACTGGCGGCTTTTACAGAGGCGCGTCAAGGAAGCCAGAGACTCTTCTCAGAACTTTTCAAATTAAAAGCTGAGGAAGTGATTATGTGAGTAGCTGTCATGAGACCTATTTCAGAGCCAGGCGCTATCAATTTATTTATTTTTTATTTTCCTGCTATCTAAGCAATCTGGGCCAGATATTATTGTTGGCAGGCCAGTTGTGGCCCGCGGGCCGCCTATTGCTGAACCAGTGCACTAATCTATTGGGTCAGTTTGTAGTGAGTCTGTGGAGCATGTACTGCTCTCACTGAGGAGAAGCTGGCTGAGCTCTAATAAGAAAGTTAAATCAACGTTGGTAAAACTTTCTGAACGTTTGTGTGTTTCAGGTTCTTCAGGCGGTGCTGGGTGACGTTTGACCGCAGTGTGAACATCAAGGAGACGTGCTGGAACCTGCAGAACATCAGGGTAAACAACACAAACAACAACACACACAGACATAAACAACAACACACAGCCGGCTCAGCGGACTAGCGTAACGCTCCTCTGGTCTCTCTCAGCTCAGGGACTGTGAACTGTCTCCGGTGGTCAACAGAGACCTGTGTCGACGCGTTCGCACCGTGAACGGCCTGACGCACCACAAACCGGTGGTGAGGAACGACATCCGGCTGTCGGCCCGACTCGTGCACAGTCTGGACCAGAAGGGGGAGCTGTGGGCCGGACAGGTACGGTCCTCCACGTTCAGTCTGTGGTCACTGCTGAGGACGGCTGCAGAGAGGAAGACCAACCTGTGTGTGTGTTTCAGATGGAGACCAACCCGGTTCTGAAGAACATCACAGACTACCTGATAGAGGAGGTGAGCGCCGAGGAGGAGGAGCTCACAGGGGCCTCGGGGGGGCAACGGTGATGACGCAGGGGATGGCAAGGACCCCTCCTCCTCTGAGGTTACCGTGGAGACGGACGAGAAGCTGCTGAAGGTGGGAGGAGCTCCGCCTGTCTGTTACCGTCTCACATTGAGTGTGTGTTGTTTCATATTTACGTGTGTGTGTGTGTGTGCAGGTGCTGGACAGGCTGCTGCTCTACCTGCGTCTGGTTCACTCTGTAGATTATTACAACTTCTGTGAATATCCCGCGGAGGACGAGATGCCTCATCGCTGTGGGCTGATCCACGTACGAGGACCCCTGCCTGTAGCCAAGATCACTGCGGCCGAGGGTACACACACACACACACACACTGCACACACACACACACACACACACACACACTGCACACACTGCACACACACTACACACACTGCACACACACACACACACACACACACACTACACACACACACTCACACTGCACTCACACTGCACACACACTGCACACACACTACACACACTACACACACACACACTACACACTACACACACTGCACACACACTACACACACACACACTACACACACTACACACACACATACACACACACACACTACACACACACACACACTCTGTGTCATGGTGTTTGAGTTCTCCAGAATTGCTTAACCCGCCTTTATAATGCAGAGATAATCAGACTCAGGTCGGAGTTCAGCAGCAGACTTGTTGAACTATACCTGTTTTGGAGGTGGTGTTTGTGATGATGTCGTGTGTTCTGATTGGACAGTGAGCGAGCATCAGAGGATGTGTGAGGAGCGTCTGGCTCCTCTGCTTTCTGCTGCTGAGACTCTGACTGAAGAAGAAGCTGCCAGGCTGGGCAAGAAGGAGCCGGAGCAGGAGGTGAGACACCCGCCTGTCTGTCTGCCAAATACTAGACAGGCAGAGAGTAGCGACCGTGTGATTCGTCTCTGTAACGTTAGGCGCGGGGATCTACCGTGCGCCTGTTTCACTGTTAAACACTCCAAAAAATAAATCCGTGCGAACCGGAAAATGATTTGCGAATATAACCGACCGTAATCTCGCACCCTGCCGGACCCTCAATGCTAATTGTCCAAAACATAGTTGGAGTGGCGATCAGGAGTAACGGGATTAACCCGGCGGGCCGGTCGCTCTGAGGCCACTTGAACAGAAAAACAAGAGCGAGCTGCGGCACCAGCAGCTGAATCGGTAAGACAGAAAATTCAAGGAGTGTTTGGCTAACGTCAGCCGACTATTTGGCTAAATCGGCGCCTGTTATTGAAACACGTTGATCTTTTCATAAAGCCGATCCTCTCGTCAGTGTCGCTGTCTGTCAACAAATCAATCGCAGCCTGGATGGAGCGGGATTTAATAAAAGTTTGATGTGCTGCAACAAACTTTATAAATGTTGGACTCAGCGTTCTGCATAAATGGTTGTGATTATTGACGAGTTAGTAGCCTGATCAAAGTCAATGAAACAAAAAACAACCCCAAACTGAAGCCGCTGTAATTTGAATTAATATTAGTGGTAAGTTATATACTATTATAAAATTATATTAATATCAAACTTACAGTTATATACTTTTAATTTAATGTTATAGAGTCATTTAGACCAGTTCCTCCTCCAGGTTGTGCCTGTGCTACACCACCTACACTACTAACGTTATTCATCAGTTTATTCTCTTCATCTTTGTTCCCTCCTGCCCTCTTTGAATTTTGTTGTATTGATCATTTAATCGGTTACAGCTCAAAGTGGCGCTGCAGTCTTAAAATATGTTAAAGGTCTTATACTCTGCTGTCTGTCTGACTCTCGCTCTCTGCGTCCAGGTGGAGAAGTTCCTGTCAGCCAACACTCAGGAGCTCAGTAAAGACAAGTGGCTCTGTCCTCTGAGCGGTAAAAAGTTTAAGGTGAGTCCAGTTTACGTGTGTGCGTGCGAACTGTCCTGAGTGGTTGCCGTAGTAACACCTGTTGTTGCTGCGCAGGCTCCAGAGTTTGTCCGTAAACACATCCTGAACAAACACGGAGACAAGGTGTCCGCCGTCAGACAGGAGGTCGTGTTCTTCAACAACTTCCTGCTGGACGCCAAGAGGCCCGCGCTACCTGAGAACAAGCCCCTCCCACCACCCGCACAAGGTGAGACACAAACAAGCTCCCACGTGTCCTGTGTGCTGTTGAAAGGCATTCTGGGACTTCACTAACTGATGAAACGCTAATGCATGATGTCGCTCTCTTTTAGCCACTCCCCCTGGTATGCCAGGATTTCCTGGTCAGTCACCGCAGCAGCAAAGCCTTCTGGGATATCCACCTGGAGTCAGACCGCCTATGCCCGGCTTTCCAGGTACAAGACAAACACACGCTCGCCATTAAGATGCATAAGCTGATGGGTTGAAACGGAACAGTGTCCCTCAAAGTTTTGTGGTTTCTGTGCAAATTTAATTCTCGCAACGCTTTTCTGAAGTGAGTTTTATCGCTGGACAACTGACAAGTGTTCACACACGATGTGATAATACGAATAAGCTGGGGCTGCGGCTAACGATGATTTTAGTACTCGCAGAATTTGTGTCGATGCTTTTTAGTAATCAAAATAATCGAAGTAATCTATGAATCGTTTCAGCCCGAGAATAAACACAACCCTCGTTAACCAAAGCTGTAAGAACCCAAAGTAAAGATTTTGCTGTGATTAAATTGCAATAAACGGATCAAACTGATGCCGAAATAAGTAATGTTTGTGATTTGTTTAACGAATATGAATTCATGCTTTGTCAGGTCTGTCAGCAAGACAACAACTTCTAAAATGTGTCTAAAATCTGTGCTATGCTAACATGTTCACCGTAAAGTCCAACGATAGCTGTTATCTGAACTCACCGGGTAGTTCAACCTCCTCGCTTTCTTCTCTCCAAGTTAAGTCCAGGTTTGTCTGGTTTCTATAGAAATATGAAGTAGTAGTCCAACGGAGCTCTGGGTGAACACCGACGCTAAAAACAACGGTGGGACCGGATGTGCACGGCAGCTCACTGCTCAGAAGCTTTCAGCAGCAGCAGTTCAGTCTGACCTCCTCCCGCCGGTACACGGTGTAGCTGTAGCAGCTACGGGTGTTTATTTGTCCAAAACCTCCAGTGCTCTCGCCTCCACAGCTCGCCGTCACTCAGCAGTTGCCTGTGACGTCCGGACAACACTGTCAACACTGACACAGCGTCGTGCAACTTTCTTGCTGGAGTTAAATGCCTGAGACAGAAAATCACATCTTCGCTACGTGAACTCTGTTCACCAGAAGCTGTGGTGACTTAAAATGAAACATGGAGGACTTTATGACCCCACGGTCGTCTTTTATTCATGGCGTAGTGCTTCAAAGTGTGTCTGTCTGTGTGTGTTGCAGGCGGCGGACCTCCCTACCCCCCCAACCAGTTTGGGGCGGGGCGTGGTAACTACGACAACTTCAGAGGGCATTTAGGAGGAGGCGGCGGCGGCGGAGGAGGAGGAGGGGGGTTTCCTGGGAAACAACGAAACAACAGGTAGAGAAAAGAGGCGCAGAACAACAAAGTTATTGATTCTAAATTGATGATGTATTGATTATATGAATCTGTGTGTGTGCAGGGGCATGCGAGGCGACCCGCGGTCCATCATCGAGTATAGAGACCTGGACGCCCCTGACGACCTCGACTTCTTTTAAACACAACGAAGCGAAACCACACAGGATGTTTTTTTTTAAACCTTTTTTATTCCTACATTTCCCATGATTCTTTTCACCGTCCCTCCGTCATTTGTTAATGTCTTTAATTTTTTTAGTGAGGTGTGTGTGTCTGTGTCCATCGGCAGGACCAACGTTGCTTAAAGTCATTAGTGAAGTTGAACTGATTCCACTTTCCAATAAAGATTCAGCGACACTGACGACCACTTGTGTGTTGCTATGGTTACCACGTGTGTTCATGACATCAGAATGTATTTATTATAATTAATTTTATGATGAGAGGGGGAAAAAGCTAGGTTTGATCCACATTCTCTGCTGATGTGAGAACACGAGCTCATTGGCTGATGGAGATAAACGGCCGGTGGAGCTAACCCTCCAGTCGCTGCCATTATACCATCGAAGAAGACGACGAGGTCGCGCCATGAAGAGCTCTGGTCAAACAAGGTGAAATCATACAGCGCAGTTTCATGTGTTAATGTGAGGAAGGTCGCACCCTCCTCCTCTGCCTTGTATGCAGTCTGGCTGGAAGACCAAACAAAAAAAAGGCGCGCCGCCATCTGTTCATGCTCTTTCAGTTTCATTCTGAAGGAACTGAACGAGAATCGCACCATAAATATTTAAAGCGCTCCTGTAGAGAACACAGCACTGTGTATCATTACATCCAAGGACCGTGTTTATATTTGTTATACAACCCTTTTTATGAAGCATAATGTCCATAAACTTTGTTTACTTGTGTGTGACTGAAGCTACTAGAGGGAAGTGCAGCGCGGTCAGTTAAATGGTCATGGGGAGTGTTGAGCAGCTGCTGTGGTGAGGAGCAGTGACAGGAAGCGCCCAGCAGGTGGCAGCAATTCTACCTGCTTGTATAAAGAACTAAAAGTATTTTCTCATAAATTATCTCCAGAGACCCCTTAATTGAGATATTAAACTGTCTCCTGATCTGCTCTGAGTTCAGCAGCAGAAATCATCTGTGTTACATCATGACCACCAGTACTTTGTTGCTGCTCTCCTGAAACAAAAGTGGGAGAAACAATCGGTCCATTTATCATTTGTCATCCCTGCAGCTCCTCCATAAATCCCTCCGTCTGTCCACAAAGACTCGTGTCATTTTCTTGTGGATATTCGCATGCTGCACTTGTGGCTGTTTAGTCATCTGAAATCCTCATGTGATCCACGAAACCGCAAACAGAAAGGAAGCAAAAATGTGCACTCAGCAGATATGGGTTTTATTTAGAGTTACTGATACTTAAGACAATAAAAAAAACCAAACATTTCATTAGTAGTCACTGTAACAGAGTAACGATCACAAGTTACCCCGTTTAAAATGTAATAGTCTATTTCAGTTATCAAAGAATGATTTGATAAACAAGTAACTGTAATTTAATCACATTTTTAGCGATTGAACATCATTATTTCCAAAAACTGAACACTTTTTCTAAGAAGCAAAGGTTTTGGTTATCAGAGCACGATGGAACACTTGGTTTCTTTTAGTATACTACAAAAATCAAAACCGTCAGACATGTTTGCTCTGCTGAACTCGTTTTTCTTTTTCTTTAAATAAATGATCCTCTTTTCAACATCAAAGAGACAAAATAGAACAATAACTAGTTTTATAGAAGTTTACTTCTACATTTAAAGAAGTCAGAATTCAACAGAGAAAAATTTGGTTAAGTTCTGGTTCAACCAGTTTTTTTGAATTAACCAATAAAACTTGTTGAGAAGAAACTGACAGTGTTGACTTTATAGGAAACCAGCAACAACAAAGACTTATTTGGTTCATTCATGTAAAACATCAAGTCAAAAACTCACAATGTATTCAGGATTTAACAGATCGCTAAAAACACAAACTGCTTTCCCCAGCAGTAATTAAAATATGAACATTGAATTTGCTCACACAGTTAACAGTGAGCTGCAAATTAGTGAGAGAAAACACAAACCAAAAGGCATAAGTTTAGAAGTTGGTGCAGGATGCAGGAATTAAAGTGTTTAAGGCTCAAAATCTTCTAGGTTGATGACCCTCCCCACCATTGACATGCGTCCCCCACCGATGTTGAAATGAAAGGAACCTTGTGAGCATGTGGCTCCAATTTACATTAATGATAAATTCATTCATGTTAAGTTACAAACTCCTGGACTTTAACAGCTCCTGTGGTTCAGCAGGTTTTCTACACATTCAGACTCTCTCCATTCTGATTGGCCGATGAGCTACCATCCATTTCTCACAACCACGCCGTGCAAACTGTGATGTTCGTGTTTGTTTGCAGTTTTGAATTAAAGCGGCAGTGTTATCAAAGACCGCAGCAGTGAAGAGCTCGGAGCTGGGGTTATTTATGTAACCAGTAAAATACAACAGGCGCAGCGTGTTTGACGAGGAGATCCAGGAGGAGGAGGAGCAATGAAATTGCAGCCTGCAGGTGTGAGGGGCATGTCAGGCTCTGAGAAGCGTGTGAGAGGTAAAGAACTGGAAGATCCTGGTTTGATATCTAATTATGTAACAACATGAATATCTGTAAATCAACGTATCGACCACTTTCTTCATGAGTCGTCCCTGCTGGTCATGGATGACTCTCATTACTAATTATAATCACTACTTCATGAGTATAGTTGTGTCTATAATATGACCGGTAAGCTGTGGCTGGCAAAAACTCAAACGGTCTTTACTAAGTGTACTGAATGTTTACAGAACTAAACAATAAAGAACAAACCGTATAGAAATAAATTGGGACTTGTAGTAAAAAGCAGTAAAGTAGTTATTGACCTCCACCAATCCAATAACGTTTCACTGCACGCTTGTCATGATATTAATGTCATTCCCGAGCTGAGCGAGTCAAAGGGCTTTCATTAATTTCACAGTCCTGATTTTTGACATAAGTACGTCTTAAAGAGACCCAAAGACAACTCGGATGTTTTTTGACAGAGCAAAAGTTTCATAGACGTTACTTGGTTCCCGTTACCATATCAACCGAGGATTCAACATGTCACCTCGTAAAAAGTTCTCAAAAACAACATAAAAACAGTCTAGCACGACAGATTCCCTTCTCGGGTCTCTTTAGTTCAAAGACTGATGATGACTTACGAGTCACGATAATCCGAAGACTTCTCATAAAAACCCACCTTTGATCCAGATGCATTTGCTAATTACAGGCACATTACCAATCTCCCAACATAATCTCAAACATAACACCCTTTTCTTTAAACTTTCAGTCTGGTTTCCGCTCTGCTCACAGCACAAAAACAGTCCTGGGTGGAGTCACAAACGACCTACGAATGGCAGCTCATTCTCCTCGATCTGTCTACAGCATTCGATGTGGATCGTTGGCATACTCCTCAGGCTACACTAAACCCCTGGACTCACTGACCGAACAGAGTACATTTCACTTGGAAGTGCAAGGTTCCTGCAACAAACAGTTTCCTGCAGGGTCCCCCAGGGGTCAGTTCTTGGCCCGATCCTCTTCATCATTTCCATCCTCCCCCCTCGGCCAAGTCATTAGCTGCTATGGAGTCTCATTTCACTGTTATGCTGATGACACACAACTGTACATGAAATCGGACACACACACCTCTACAGCCTCACCAACATCATCTCCGTCTTAATCTCTTCTTGTCAGGAGGAGATAAAGGTCTGGATGAAACAGAACTTCTTCGAGTATTACAGCTCTAAAACTGAGGCAGTTCTTGTTGGCAACTCACATCAAGTCCAGTCAAGCTCCATAACCAGTATAACTATCTCTGGTCATGACCGCCCACAACTCACCTTTGAAGCCCATATCAAAAACCTCTGCAGATTCTCTTTGTATCATCTAAGAAATATTGCAAAACTCTGTTTCACCACCGCTGATGCTGAAAACCCCCTTTGTCTCCTCAACACTCAATTACTGTACCGCACTGCTCGTCAGGATCCCTAACAAGAGTCTGCAGTATATTCAGCACAGTGCTGCAAGGTCTCTCTCCTCACCCACCAGTACATCTTTGGAAATGTTCCCCCCTCCTACCTGAAAGAACTACTAACCCCTCTCATAACAACATACACCAATCAGCCGTAACATTATGACCACTGCAGGTGAAGAGAATAACACTGAGTGGGTGGGACGTATCAGGCAGTAGGCGAACATTGTGTCGTCAGAGTTGATGTGTTAGAAGCAGCAAAAATGGGCAGCATGAGGATTTGAGCGACTTTGACAGGAGCCAGACTCTGACTGCTAGACGACTGGGTCAGAGCATCTCCAAACCCGTCTGCAGGAGTCAGTACCGATCAAAAGCGGTCCGATTAAGGAAAAGCTGGTGAAACAGCGACAGGCTCATGTGTCCAAGGCTCATTGATGCATGTGCAGAGTTTAAAATTTGCACCAGCCACCAGAGAAATGGCAGATTTCCTTCACTCACCAGCCAACAAACAATGGGAATCTGTTGAGTGGCGGGTACACTTTGAGCATTCACCAGCCATTGGCTGGTAGACAAAAAAGTAAATTTTGCACCCTGTGCATGTGGAGAGCGAAGGCTGGCCCGTGTGATCCGATCCAACAGACGGTCAAAGTGATGCCGGTTCTGGTAGAAAGGTGTCAGACCACACAGTGGAGTCCAGGCCTCGATGGCTCGGGGCTGTTTTGATGGAAAAGCTGGTGGTCATAATGTTATGGCTGATCGGTGTTAATAATACCTTATATGTCTTTGTAATTATTAAAAAGGGAATTATAATAATAATAATTCTAGGATAAAAGTTTAATATTAGCATTAGTGTGGTAAAACACACACGTCAAACACGTTCTGCTCACATATGTACGCATGGTCAAGACCCGTAAGGAGTCAGTTTGATACGCACTGTGGCGCCCCAGAGCGTCATGTCTGAGTAAGGAGGTGGACGGGCGGGCCCGAGTACTGAGGACCAGGCCAACACACACAGAGAATAGGGGTATCATTTCTGTTCCCTACAGATCCATTTTTCAAAAAAGGACCCTGTAAGTTACGGAAAGGGTGTTTTAACCGTGGACCTTTGTTTATTTTTGAAGGTACGGCATCATTGCTGACAGCAAAGGGTACATAACTGTCCTTTTAATAAACTTAATGTACAGGCAAATGATGCAGACCCAGTGGATAACACACATGCCTCTGGTGTGTGAGACCCGGGTTCAATTCCCACTGTGACACGTCCACCATTGTGCCCCTGACACTTAACCCCTAGTTGCTCCAGAGGCGTGCGACCTCTGAAATATATAACAATTGTAAGTCGCTTTTTTTGTCACTAAGGGTGCAAAAATGTTCTTTTAGAGGTACAGACAAGAACAACACCGTTCAAAGGTACACTCCTCGTACCCTGCTCGGGTACAACATTCGTACCCTTGATTTCTCTGTGTGTAACAGTAAGGAGAAAACATATTCTTGTGAACTTCATCGTCCTGGGGCCATCTTTCGGAGCTGTCAACACACCTTTCATAAGCTCTCATTAAGCCGGCTGGCTCATTAACAGGCACACAAGTCAAAACTTACTCTTACACACATAGTGATAAAACATGTAGTCCTCGGGTGTTTCAACATAAGACATCCTTTCCCAGGCAGCCCAGCCCAGGCTGAACCAGCCCGTGGTGTCCAGGGGCTGACCCTTTTGCTGTTTCAGCAGTGTCAGTAATTGATGCCAAATTAATTGCGAAGCCACACCCCGAACACACAGCTGGCTAAACACAGCGCAGTATAGGTTTCGCTCTATCTGAGGTCCGACACGTTCATGGATGCGCTCCATTGACTCTAATGCAAAAAGAGTCGTTTTCTAGCTTTTCTTGGCTGTATTTTTCTAACATATGGTCAAACGCTGTTCCTGGGGCACTTGTAATAGTTACAGCAGCTACCCAGAGAGGTTGAAAGGAGATTTATTCTCTTTCCAAAACCTAAAATAAATCCAGAAAAATAACCCTAACCCCACCCCTCACCCTACTGTTCTGCTTTTTAATGATTGTAATAATGAACAGAGGCCTACCCAGCTTTACAGGAATAGTGAAGCTGGGTCGGCCTTAATATTGTTGTCTTTTGTCTTAATCGTCGGGGGATGTGGTGGTTCACTTGTAGGCCTACTGTGTGATTTATCTTCTATCTTTAATTTTTTTCACGTCCGTTTGAGTCAGTTTGACAGCCTGAATACAACCTTCAAATCTATAATGCAACTGCAAAACTGTTTACAACAAATTTGACAAAACTGCAGTAATGGACAGCGGCAGCGCCGACAGTTTGTCGGACTTAGCAACAGTAACTAAGGGGTAAGCAAAGGGTCAATTGCCCAAACCGATCATGCTGTCTTTCGTCTGCCCCTCACCTGAGAGCAACCCAGCTCAAACTCCCACCAGCTCTCAGGGTTTTGGAGTAACACAAGCCTCCCCACCACGACAAGGTAACAGCACAAGGAGAGGAACTCGACCTCTTTAAATCCCAGTGGTTGAGATGCACCACCATCACCAGCACGATGTGTGATTTGCCTCTGTATGATTCTAACCTGAAACTTCAAACCAAGTCCTTTAAAGGCAAAGTGAGGAAATACCCTCACTTTCCAAAAGTGCCCTCACTCCGGAGGTCTGAAGCTGAGCTTGTTCCTCACAGAGACAGATCTACACCATGGATATACTCTCTCTCTCAAAGCCGGCCCCTGCAGACATCCCTCACGCCTGCAGGCTGCAGCTTCATTACTCCTCGGACCGTTAGTCACCTCCACATTAAACACAATCGCTGCTTGATAAATGAATTTTCAGCCGTTAACGGAATTTTAAATTCCCATAGAAGTTCAACTTCACTGTACCTGTTGTATGTTATTTGTTACATAAATAACCCCAGCTCCTAGCTATTCAGCTAAACCTCACTGCTGCTGTCTTTGATAACACTGGCCCTTTAATTGGTTGTGAGAAATGACTGGACATTTGCCAGCCAATCAGAATGGAGAATTCTGAGTGGCTGCGGTGAGGCCACAGTGGAAAAGCAGGTATTCATAGCTTAGTGTAGGATATTGGAAAAATCTGAGACTGCACTATTTTTCTTTTCTGCGATATGAAAAAACAAAGGAGTTTTTACCAGATGACTTCAGTTGCTCTATTTGAAATTATTTAGGCATGTTAGAATTATTGCATTGATTTTGTTGGAAAATAAATTAGCTAAAATATTTATTTTTGGTCTGAAGACTTTTTTGAGTGTAAACTACCCTCTCGAGCTTTAATGCAGCAACCATATTTTATTTAAAAGAGTAGCTTTCCACCAGTATAATACAAAAGTTGCTTTTCTTTTCAAACCCAAAGCCACTGTTTCAGTGTTTTTTATCTGTTCTTCAGTTATTTTCAAGAACCCTGCGAACCCTCCTAAAAGTCGGATAGCGTTGACGATGCTGAACAATATATTATGCAGCCCTAGCTTGGGGCAAATAAAGTGGTGTACCGTAAGGATCCTTTAACGTTCTTGTACATCATAACACCACCCACAAATCAAATGACAGCCATCAGCACCAGCCCCACTACCAGCCCGACATGTCCAACCAGGTGTCCTCCAATAGGTTCAACTGCACCACCTGTAGAGCAGAAACAGTGTGAAGCATCAGCGGTCAGGTAGGTCAGAAACAGTCTGCAGAAAATGATTAGTCTTTCAGTTCATTCTCCATTACTTGATTAGTTGTTTGGTCTGTATTAGGGATGTCACCGGTACCAAGTCGATAGAAAAATTCTGGAAACATGCCGGTACTCGTTCTTCTAGGTATCCAAGTTTGAGACAGCTGGCATTGCTGTGTAGCAAAGCCAGCTATGTAAAATATGGCGTTTGCAATTGCTAAAGGCTAACGTGTTTAGGCTGCCGTAATGTAACCATAGCTTGTAGTAGCAGGCAGTCGTCTGTCATAGTTTCGTTAGCGTTTTAAAGTTTTTCTCAATCGCTTTGGCACAATCGTCAACATGACTATCAAACTGTCAAACAATGTGACTAATTATATGAACATTAGGTCAGTTGTTCACATGACTACAGTCATTTATACTTGCTTTGGCACAAAATGCACTAAGTGATCAAAATACTTACTGCATTTGTTTGCTATTGAGTCATATTTTCCCAAAATAGCTACTATGTACACGTTCGCTAAAATAAACAAGTAAATCCCTACATGCTAAACTGAGCAAACAACAATCACACATATATTAAATACATAATAGTTCTGTGTTTTGTTATTGTTGTAGAAGTTGTCAATTCAATTTCCTCACAATTTAGAGCAACCATATGCAACTGCTGACCAATTTAGCAGACAGGTAAAATTACCAATAGGTTCTCAAACACATTTATACTGCAAGGGTAAGACTCAACGTTACAGCTGTGGAATGGGTCAGAGTCTGCCCGCAACAATAAATATGCAATCACTTTCACTTGTCTGCGGTTCTTGCATAAATTACACAATTTACTTAACCTACAGAACTTTAATAAAAACAGTCTCCTGGTTGAAAGTCTAGTTTCTGGTCCACTCCTCCACCCAAACTACCGCCTTATTTGGACCTTTGTGTTAAATATACTACAACAACCCCACAGACTCTCGTGTTTCAGTTTTTATTCTATAGTGTTTACATGACCAACGTTAATGAATTAGGACTTCTGGAAGGTCACAGGTCGTAGTGCAGAGCAGCAGCATCGTGAGTGAGTATGAGTGAAAAGGGGAGATGGGATGATACAACAGTTTGAGACACGGTGGGTCTCAGTTTAGCATTGTAGAAAAAGCAGGAACGAATTAAACATTTCCTGCTGGTCCAGGGTCAGCACCTAAATTAAAGAGTGTAGGGAAGGGGGCACAAGGCTAACTGGGGTAGAATTAAAACATCTGCTTTGTCAGCATGAAGCTTTAGGAAACAGCACACTGAACCGAACACTCACGTGATTGTATAACGGTCACTTTGACGATGCTGATGGGCTCGGACTTAATAACATGTCTCGTCGTGCGTTTCGTGGCTTCCTGTTTAACTCGACACTCGTATGTTCCAGAGTCGTTGAGCATCACATTCTTCAGCACTAATGACAGGTTGCCATCTTTCACCTTGCTGTCCGCCAGCTCCACCCGGTCCTTATAAGAGGGATGCTGAAAGGTGTTATCAGCCTGCCCGTCCCTGTAGAAGAAGACGTACTGTGTCGTCATGTCAGGCCTGCTCCACTCTGCAGCTCTGATAGGGGATTGCCCTGGTGCTCGACACGGTAAAGTCACGTCGTCTCTAGGGCGAGCAATTATGCTCACCTCTGAAAGAGGGAAAAGAAAACAGACAGCAGAAGGGTTGAAAGGAGCCATGACTCGAGGAGCTGGTTTTAAACACAACTTCTTATTAAACAGGGTTTAAACACTTAGCTGTAGACTGTTTTCAATGAATGAGAATCACATGATGTATTCATTATTCACTATTACTGTTCACCAATTCTTTAACAATGTAAATATTGTACATCCACACTCCTTTTTTACTTTGCCTAGAGGTTGCTTATAGGGCTCAAGCTGTGGTAGTAATCAAGCGCACCTCGAGCTGTGAATCCAGACAGTTGTGACAGAGTGGTAACGTAGCTGGGAGAGTTTTGCACTATCAACATCTACAAGCTGAAGCGCAGACTTGCTCTGTTTGGGACTGTGAGCTGCACTTTATCAAAGCTGCTGATGTTAACGTGTGTGTGGATTTGTGGTGAGATTTCTGCCTGATCAGTTTTTTCAGTTGGTTTTGGTTCCTCATGCAGCATACATTGCCAAACTGTGTCGGTCAAACCTGCGTCTACTGAGTCTAATAACACATTGATGAGTCCTAACGATCATAAACTACAGAAATCTTAGGACAAAACAAGACATTTGAGGATAGACCAACATTTTTCACCATTTTCTGACATTTTATAGACCAAACTACAGATTGAGTAATCGAGAAATTAATCTACAGGTGAATCCACACTGAAAACGACACAGCTGAAAGAATAAGGCTAAGATTGTCATGTACACGCCACAAGACTACATCTGAGCAAAACATTCATATTAAACCCCGTTAACTTAGGCCTTCACACTGTCAAGAGATTTTCTGTCTTCCTGCCTGTGTCAGCTGCAGCTGGTTTGTCTAATATTACAGTTTGCTCTTTGTTTGTAAAATATGACCCTCTGCTGCCAGTAGACTTGTCCATATCTGTGATTGATCATCCGCTGCTATCACTGCCTCTTTTATGTGAACGCGCTCACGGCTGGATCGGGAAACCCTGGATAGACTTACTGAGTTGATAACCGTGTCGTGTAAGACTTAGGCTTGATAAAAAGGCTTGAATTTTTACCAACATGTTTATTTTCAACAAAAACAGACACCAGTTAGAGGACAAAAGTTTCAGGGTCAGAGATTGATGCAGAATAGAGTCCCAGTCTGTTAACAGCTTCTTCTGGACCTCCTATCACAGCTGTTTCTGAGCGTTACATCATCTCTTGGCTCTCTTTCCTGCTGCAACTGGATCTGTGGAAAGTCCCACATATTTGGGTGTCTCTCTTCTGTCATCATTTTCTGGATTATCACTTTTGTTTCACTGCCATGGTTTTATTCTTGGCCTGGCTGCACTGTGTCCTCGGCTTGCTAACTGCTGATCATAATATCTCAACCACAACCTGACTTTGTGAAATGAGCTGGTGTCTTTTGTGCTGTGTGCTAGAGACAGGACATCCTTAGGCTAGGCAAGGCAAGTTTATTTGTATAGCACATTTCAACAAGGCAATTCAAAGTGCTTTACATACAACAAAAGCAACAGGGAAATATAAAAAAAGTTTAAAACCAACATAGGGAAATTGAAAAAAATACACATAAAAGTTACAGTGCAGTGTACAATCAGGGTTAAAAGAGTTAAATGGAAAATAAAAACAGGCCGAGGGGTTGAGCAAATAATTGAGTTACAATTATTTTGAAAAGAGAATAAACAGACAAGTACACTTCCTTCACTCTGTTCAATCTCACTCTCATTATCTTTTTCACTCAACTACCTACTCATTTCTCACCGTGTAAATATTTAATTAAAAGCAATGGTAAAAAGAAAAAGTCTTCAGTCTTAATTTAAAAGAACTGACTGTTTCAGCAGACCTGCAGTTATCTGGGAGTTTGTTCCAGATATACGGAGCATAATAACTGAACGCTGCTTCTCCTTGTTTAGTTTTGACTCTGGGGACAGAAAGAAGACCTGCCCCAGACGACCTGAGAGGTCTGGATGCTTCATAACGAAACAGAAGATCGGAAATGTATTTTGTCCCTAAACCATTTAGTGCTTTATAAACTAACAGCAGGATTTTGAAATCAATTCTTTGACATACAGGAAGCCAATGTAAAGACCTCAGAACTGGAGTGATGTGATCCACCTTTTTGGTCTTAGTGAGGACTCGAGCAGCAGCGCTCTGAATCAGCTGCAGCTGTCTGATGGATTTCTTAGGGAGCCCTGTAAGGACACTGTTACAGTAGTCAAGCCGACTGAAGATAAATGCATGAATAAGCTTTTCCAGGTCCTGCTGAGACATAAGTCCTTTAATCCTTGATATATTCTTAAGGTGATAGTAGGCTGACTTTGTAATTGTCTTAATGTGGCTCCTCAAATTAAGGTCTGAGTCCATGACTACACCAAGATTTCTGGCTTGATTTGTGGTTCTTAACATTACAGATTGAAGTCGAGCACTGACTTTCAATCGTTCCTCCCTGGCTCCAAAAACAATAACTTCAGTTTTATCTTTGTTTAATTGAAGAAAATTCTGTCACATCCAGCCATTGACCTGCTTAGTATAGTTACTCAGCACCCGTATGGGATCATAGTCCCCTGGTGAAATGGTTAAATCTGTGTGTCATCTGCATAATTATGGTAACATATTTTGTTGTATTTCATAATCTGAGCCAGTGGAAGCATGTAAATGTTAAACAAAAGAGGCCCCAGAATGGAGCCTTGGGGAACTCCACGTCATTTTTGTCAGCTCAGATGTGTGATTACCTATAGACACAAAGTAGTCCCTGTCCTTTAAGTAGGATTCAAACCATTTTAGTACTGTGCCAGAAAGTCCAACCCAGTTTTCAAGTCTGTCTAGTAATATGTTGTGGTCGACCATGTCGAATGCAGCACTGAGATCCAATAATACTAAGACTGAAATTCTGCCACTGTCAGTGTTTAAATGGATGTCATTGAAGACCTTAACAAGAGCCGTCTCAGTGCCGTGGTGTGGTAGAAAACCTGACTGGAAGACATCAAAACAGTTATTTAGTGCCAAGAAAGCACTAAGCTGTTGAAAAACAGATTTTCAATGATTTTACTTAAAAATGAGAGATTTGATATGGACCTATAATTGCTCATTAGTGAACTTGTCTAGAGTGGCTTAATGACTGCAGTTTTCAGGGCCTGTGGGAAAAAACCCGAGAGGAGAGACATGTTGACAATTTGTAGTAAATCTGAGGCCATGCATTTAGAAACATTTTTGAAAAAACCTGTTGGCAGAATATCAAGGCAGCATGAGGAGGATTTCAGATGTTATATTATGTCCTCCAGGTTTTTATGGTTAATAGAATCAAATTGTCTCATGCTATATAAATTGTTTTTAAGTGGACACAGGGACAAGACATATCCTGTTACTGACATGGAGGCACTGATTGCTTGTCTAATTGTTTGAATTTTGAAGGAGGAGGCAAATTCATTGCAGGCCCTGGTGGATAGAAGGTCAGAGGCTACAGACACAGGAGGGTTGTTTAGCCTGTCGACAGTAGCAAACAGGGCACGTGCATTATTAATGTTTTTGGTGATGATGTCAGAGAAGAAGGACCGCCTTGGATTTCTCAGCTCTAAATTATAAATGTGAAGTCTCTATAGATGTCATAATGAACCTGGAGATTTGTTTTCCGCCACCTGCGTTCAGCTTTTCAACACTCTCTTTTTTGAGTTCTAACCAGCGTGGCATTTCTCCATCTCTTACCAGAGACCACCTTCACGTTGGCTGGTGCAATGGCATCACTATCATTTGTAATTTTAGAACTGAAAGTTTTGTGATCACCTCTGTTTTAACATTTGTGTGCACGCAGATAGCACTTTCAAAGAAAACACAGGAATGATCAGAGAGCAACATCAGTCACCACAACCTTGGAAATGTAAATGTAAATGCTCCGTACTTGTATAGCGCCTTTCTAGTCTTTTCGACCACTCAAAGCGCTTTTACAATGCATCTGCATTCACCAGTCACACACATTCATACACTGAGCCTAAGTGCTCAAACAGAAACTAAGATTCAGACTCACTCGGGGTTCAGTATCTTGCCCAAGGACACTTCGACACGCAACCAGGGGGAGCCAGGATTGAACCGCCGACCTTCCGATTAACGGCCAACCCGCTCTACCTCCTGAGCCACAGCCGCCCCAAACGTCCAGACCCTTGGAGATGACCAAGTCCAAAGTGTGACCCTTATTGTGCGTGGGCCTCGTCACATGTTGAGTCAGTCCATAATTATAAAAACAGTTCTTTAGTCCCTCTGTCCTGGGGGTTGTCAACATGGATGGGAGTGGTGATGGCAGATAAGATGCTTGCCTTTGGTGTGGGAGACCCGGGTTCAATTCCCTGCTGTGAGACATCCACCATTGTGTCCCTGAGCAAGACACTTAACCCCTAGTTGCTCCAGAGTTGTGCGACCTCTGACATGTATAGCAAGTCGCTTTGGATAAAAGCTAAATGTAAATATAATAAAATCACCAACAATAACGTCAAAGTCAACACAGATTATAGACAGCAGGTCACCAAAATCAAAAAAGCTTGCACAGTATTTAAGGGGCCTGTAGACATTTAGAAACATATCTCGAGAAGAGGAATTCAAATTCAAAAGAAGCAAAATTCCCATTAGACATCTTTGGGCTGAGGTGGCTCTCCTTCAAGGTTTCTGGCATGTTGTGTTATGTCTTCTTCTTGTTTAGATTCCTGTTGTCTCTTGTCCTTGGCAGAGGGAACAGATGAGTGACACAGAAAGTAAAACAGGTTGGAGGTTGAACAATTTTACTCCTGACTTGTTAAGGCGAAGTCCAGGGTTGGGTTTAGTTAAGTCAGATAATGGAAAGAGATCCTGGTATGTTGACCTTGCTTTGTGGGATGTAACAATAAACACATTGCATTTAGCTGATGCTTTTATCCAAAGCAACTTACTATTGTCAGAGGTCGCACGCCTCTGGAGCAACTAGGTATTAAGTGTCTTGCTTAAGGACACATTGGTGGATGGGTCACATTGGGGGATTGAACCAGGGTCTCTCACAACAAAGGCATGTGTTTTAACCAGTGCTCCATCACCACCCACATTTTCTAAAATAAATAAATAGCCCAGATATAATCTGAACTACAGGGAACAGAAAGAGCAGTAGAATATTTCAGTCTTCAGTGGGAAAACTAAATTAAAGAACAACTTTAGGTAACAAAATAATGAGCAGCTAGCACATACAAGAGGATCTTAACTGATGACACTTAACTAAATATAATTAGTTGGATATTCAGTAGTAGTAGTTTTACTTAAAAAAACTTGATGCTAAAGCAAAATATGAGAGTAAACTACTCTCCTCAGCCATTTTAGTGGAAAACCAGATAACGATCAGTGATACAGGCAGCGTGAACATGTTGTAGCCTGCAGCCAACACCAGCCTCTTTACTGATGCAGAAATCTGATTTGATAGATTTAGAGGAAATCTACTAGAGACGATACTCAGAAAACCATCATAATCATAATCATGATTATTGAGGTCAGTATTGAGACCACAACAGTTTAACACTTCATCACGTCATGCATTTATCTAACTTTATTTATTATGCGTTACCCCTAAACCCTTAATAGCTCATGAAATTAACACACAGTACTTATCAATAGCATCTTAGAGCAGAAGAGGACAACAGCAGCTGAGTTAGCTGTGTGTCTGGGTGTGTGTAATTTTTAAGCTCCGAATAACTTGTTAAACCAAATAACTGGTGTAGGCTTCAGACAATAATGGTGACTGTCTGGGTTTTACCGTTGCTGCTGGAACGAGTTTAAGTTCATGCACGCACATATTTATTTATTTCCTGACATGTTTATTTGCCTCACCCATGTGATTAATCTAATTGATATGAGAGATTAGTGCACACATCCTGTCTTCTACCAACTGCTGATCTACCAGTAGAGCTATTGCTGGTTGTGCGCTTGTTTGCAGTGTGAGCCAGTCAAGTGAAATAATCATTTTGTACATTTACTTTGTGCTTTCAAGTCTTCTACTCTGTAATTTGGCTTTGCAGCGCTCAAATGTATTTACTGTTGTGCAGATCCTGTTTTGTAGTGTTTATTCTGTTGGAGTTTTTTTGCATGGTTTGTTTTATCGTGTTGCTTTGGACCTTTATTTTATTGTATTTCACTCAACATTGTTCAGTCACAGACAGACAAGAGCTGCTCAGCTGGTAAGCAGGACAGAGAGACAGAGAGATTCACTGTAGCTGCATTACTGCGATCTGCTGACATCAGACTCTGAGAGGAGAGAATAAGACAGCTGACTGCTGTTCCTGCACTTCACTCTCATTGTCTTAGTTTTTAAAGCGACAGTAATGTTTCCATATGGCACGTGTGGAAAATAGTTCAGGTGAGCTAGAGGTGGCCTAGTTGTGTCACACTTGTGACGAGGGCTGGAGCCGGTGTTACTGATTTCTCAGTTCGTGTCTATATTGAGACCAAACCTTTCCATCACCTTAATCGCAGGTTTAACAGAAATCCATGGCAAGAGAAAAATCCAGCGACCTCTCAGCAGCTGTGGGATCATAACATCAGGTTGTGACTCGTCAGGGAAACTTTACGGAAACATTTCATAGTAAAAAGACTTTTCTGCCTTAATAGGCCGTAGGTTTTCCAAATCCACGTCCCTCACACATAAGTCTTTCAAGCTCCAGCCACACCTGCCGCCTGTGGGCCTTACACTTTGTTCTTCACCTGAGTTGCCAGTCTTGTGTTCAGTTAGTCTGCATAGTGATTCACTAGTTATCTCATTTATTTGCTTTCTCTTAAGAAAGTCGTTTGTAGTTATGATTTGAGTTTCATTTGAGAGAGTTTATAAATATCTTTAGTTTTGGTGCACAGACTCCTTTTCTTGTTGCTTTTAGTTTTAATGTGCTCTGCCTCTGCTTCATCTGGGCTTCAGTTGAAGCTAAACATGCCACAGCCTGCTGAGAGGCTTTAGGGACCCAGCTGTTTTCAAAACAAGAATAGCATCAATGTGAAACAGAGTGTGACTCCATTATGGTTTTATGTCCTTTATCTTGTTTTCATAATAGTTTGAAGCCAAAATCGTAACCAAAAGAAAAACTGGATTCAATTAGAACTGCAGAGCCAAAACTTTTACAGCGAGAAATCGAGCATGTTTTTTTCCCCCTGTAACCAGAAATTAGTGCAAACATCCTGGTTTCTACCCACTGCTGAATTTAGTGTTTCCCTTTATATATATGTATATATAAAGACATTTCATCTAAAGTATCATCTAAACTATTTCTCATGACCCCAGTACTATCACGTCTCGTGAGCTGAGTCTACACCCCTAATCTGGTCCTTATGTTCCCACCACGATTCACAGGACTGACAGAGATGAAGGAGTTAGAGTTAATAACATGTTGGATTCCTCCTGAATATTAACATTAATGTCCAAACACAACACAGTTCAAACTGGACCTCCACAAAGGATTAGTGCTTTATAGTATAAATATAGACCGAGAGAATGAAGGAGATGCTTCTTACTGAGTCTAATAAACGATCATAAACATCAGTTGTCATCATTCATGAACCAGATAAAGAACATTTTATAGTTAGTGGTACAGTTATAGTACAGCTCTTTGTCTCAGTAACGGACATGTGCTTCTCTGTCTCTTGCTGTTGATGTGAACCATCTCTAACCACAAAGGGGGTTTCCGGCTCGTGCAGCTGGAATCTGAGCGGTAACTTCGATATAACGTCCTCACTGTAGCAAAGAGAACAAAGGGTGTGACCTGTCGGTGTTGTTGACTTTGAGCGTGATGCGGAGTGATTTTTTTTTTTTTTTTTTTTTTTTTTTAAGAAATGGAGTCGTGGCAGCTGCTCACTGTATATAAAAAGGTTCTCACAAGCATTACAACAATAACATCCAACTCACCACCGAATAGTTGATCTCCAGAGGAAGAAACCAGCAGCACCTGCAGCAGCAGAGTCCAGCAGGGCGGACAGGAGGCAGAAGATAACATGTTGGCCAGAATATTCCCGAAGTTTATGCTAAGCCAGGCCCGAGATGAACGAGAAGTCCCTGACTGCAGAGTGCAGAACGATGAACTGCTGGTGAGGCGGCGCCTCCACGGCCGATTGAGTAATACGCATGCGCATCCTTAGTCTACATCTTGTTAAGATAATATTATTAGTAGTAGTAGTAAGTAATAACCCTGTTGTTATCCTTTTAGTGATGTTTGAAGACTAGCAGACCCATAAGAAAGTAATCTTGAAGAGTTCCCTAACCTCTTTCTGTTTTGTCTTTATTCATCCCTGTTCCTCCCTAATAATCAGTTCAGTATTAACTAATGCTTTAGTTAAATGTTTCATATACAATTTCCTACTAAAATATCCATTGATACGCTCGTGTGCATCACCAGCCTCTCGGTTAAAGTGGGATGTCTGCTGTTTTCTCGTGTGACCCGAGCGCCACCAAGGGGACAAGAAAGGTATAACACGCAAGGGTTTAAAACTGGGCTGACACTGACAGAGTCGTTAAGTAGGCCTAACTATCACCATGTAATTGCATAAACGAAATTTTGCTGCCACGCTTACATCTATTATCTATTGAGTTAAAACCGGTAACCAGCAAGTATATTGAGGACATGTAATTAATTAATTACCTTTTTCCATAGTGTTTAGCCTCGTTTTAATTGACTTTAACCGAATGTTTAGAACTGAGTATTTTTCCAAATGTCGATATTGTGGAGAGAGAGATTAAAGGGAAATACGCGCAACGTATATTTCTTTATCCCAAAAAATTAACACCTTTGGGTGACTTCCCCTGAGACCCCCTCCCAAATTGACGTCACCACCAGGCTACCTAATGAAGTCAAATTAAAGGGGCCTTGTTGTCTTTTGTCTTTCTCTTCTCTTCTAAAAACTCTTGAAACTAAACGTATACGTTCTCTTAACTTCCTTTACTTTTTGAAATTCCGATTTTTGTTTCGTACTTAAATCTCCTTCAGACGAGCTGAGAAAGCTACGACCCTGAATTCCAATTTTCTTAGCGGGAGATTTGATTTTTGATTTTGTTTGGAGCTGCCTGTTTAACCTCAGCAACATTAATATATTATTCCCGAGGCCTCGCGAACCTACGGCGAATGTGTGAGTTTATTTGATTTTGTTGTTGCAACCTCATCCGACCGTTGTGAGCAACTTTGGACCAGAAACTCAGAAGCCTTCATTTAAAATGAAACCACGGCTCTGAGTGGCCCTATAGCGACACCAAACGAACTGAGATCAGAGCAAAAGCCTTGGCTGACAGCCCGTTGCTGCAAGCGCTTCCCACAAAGGACTCCGGACCTAATCCACCGGTTTCAACCCAACTCGAAAACGCCACTCGGGTCGGGCCAGAACCGACTCCACGAGCCAACCGGCAGTCGAGCCTCGCCACGGGACCTGCGGCAACTGTAGGGCAAAACAAATCTGCAGTTGGCTCCATCCACAGTTAATAAACCCCTTAGATTAGTCAAACTAAATCTGCAACCTAACTTCGGTCATTTGTTCCCTCATACTCGTAGAATTCTCTCCCTCTACAATATAAACTTAAATTCAATCGAGCCTTACACAGGCCACCCTGTTCATTACCTCCTGGTTGTCATATTGACTGTTGTCCCTGTAATATCACCACATTTACCCATTTTGTACCCTCTTTTGTTAGTTAATAAATTCACCTTGAGCACAGTGATGTTGTGTGTGTGTTATACATAGAACTCACCCTCAGATTTGAGACTGACTGATTGACTAGAGTTTACGATTTCAGAATAACTGAACCAGTAACATCTAATGAAATTACCAGAAATTCGTAATTCTCAGGCTATACTCAAGGACCTAAAGCTTGGGCGGACAAGCAAATCTTTAGGTGCTGCTCCTAATTTCGAGGCATAAATTAATATTCCCGGAAATATTAATTTTCATAACTGTATTAAAATTTTACGTAGCTTAGATCTGCTACATACTTTTATTATTCTTCTAGCAAAAATCAAGGCCAAATTTATTTCTGTCATTATTCAGAAGGCTAATTTGATGCCAGTTATAAAGTAAATCCTTCTGTGTTTAGGGAGTAAAGTAATCAAACTCCAAGGCAATGAAAGGGCGCCTCCTGCTGGGAATAAAATTCACACTGTCCCGGGGGACTAACTGTCTTTCAGAAGTTCCACTCACTACCAGGGACAAGTGGAGATCACAAAATCCCTGTCTGGGATGTTGAGTTGAGGGGTGTAAAGAATCAGGGAACATAGAAGCATCATCTTCAGAATATTCTGGAGTAAATAGCTCACAGAAAGTGTGTTTTGGGAAGGAACTTAAAGGAGCTCATGGCCTCAGCTGGCCTGATTTCCTCGTTCAAGAGCCTCTGGGCCCCTGATTGCAAACACTCTGTCCTCCTTAGTTTCCACTCGGGCCTCTGGAACAGATACCAGCCCTCTGCCTGAGGATCTTAAAGCAGCCGCTGGTGCTGCAGTACGAAAAGGTCAGATATCCAGCGGGGAGAGAGGCCGTGAAGAGTGAGCAGGAAAAGTTTAAATCTGAAACATACTGAGTGTAAAGAGGCTAAAAGGGATCAAGTTTCTTTGTTGTGGTTCTGCAGCCTGGCAGCTGAGTCAAAACATGTTTGGTTCAGGCAGGTAAACAAGTTGTTGCAGTAATCCAGGCCTGATGAGATGAAGGCGTGTAACATGGGCTCAGTGTCATTGAAAGTTCACACAGATCGTGGTTTTGATATATTTCTAAGATGATAAAAACACAATTGCACGAGCTTTGTGGTGTGCTGCTCAAAACTTTAATTGCCGAGATACCTCGCAACCTGCTTGTAATGATCCTGAAGATGACAGAGGTTTTTGGGTTTTTTTGCTATTTGCTGGATCTCTGTTTTGTCTGAGTTCAGCTGGAGGAACGTTTTTTTAATCAAATGTTTCCAAACCAGAGGCATAAATTCAGAACGTGAGTGATTGTCTGCAGACGAGAATGAGGGGGAACAAAAGAATGAGAGAGATGCTGAAATACAGGCGTTGTTTACCACAGTTGCCAGTGTTGGGCAGTAGTGTCGCTGCATTGTAGTCTGAAAAAAAAAAGAAGCTTTTTTTATTTATGAAGTAGCAGACGAGATTGAGTTCAAACACTTGGTTGAAGGATCAGGGTCCAGCCTGGTCACCTCTTCCTCCAGTGAGGAGGAAACTCTGATATCTAGTGGCAGAAAGTTGTTTCACACACACACAATGTTATTCAGAGGACATGTTTTGTTTTTTGCCTTGTTGTTACTGTTTGGAGCAGGTCTGTTTTCTCTTGCTAATCTCGAATAAAGTTGGTTCAATATAAAATAAAAATATGTGTAGTAACCACGTGTCCCAGCAGAGTAGCTGCAGTGTAGTGAAGCTTAATTTAATATAGAGTAACTGGTTTGCTCACTTCATTTTCCAAGGAGTTTGCTCAACACTGATAGTTGCTACTTAGTGGGAGTTTTAAGTTACATGCCGACATTGTACAGTTTCCGGTGCATGAAGGAAGATCAATGAAGATCTCAGTGGTTCAAAAACAGTAACATAAAGATTTAATTGTAAAATTTAATTTATTAAATTAAATTGAATTAAAAAAAATACTTTTTCCTTTCCAGCATTTGTTTCCTGCAAAGCTGTCAGACCTCACTAGTATAGTGGAATCCCGGTTTTTGGGCCCCAAGAATACAGTAAAACAAGCACACAGTTGTGAAGCGGCATGCACATGTTTTTGTGGTTAAAATTACAGGCAGGCAGGAACATGCTTCCTCCGCATTTCCATTCAGGTCTGCCACGCTTGAGTCAGGATGATGAGTTCCTTTGAGTTGTGTCTCAGACTTCCTTCACAGCAGACATTAATGTTTGAGTGCAGCTCAGATCAGAGACATCAGATATTAGTGCATGTCCTGCAAATACCTTATTTTTTACATTATCTGTAGATGTTTTGATCTTTTCAATAATAAACTGTGTCAGTCAGTGGAGTCAAGAGGGGGAGGGGGGTGGAGAGAAAACTGACTGACCACTTTTCGTGAAAATGAAACCATCCTCTGAGCATCCGCTGCAAACTTAAACCAACCTCAATCTTTTCTCTTCAGTGCTGACCAGGTTGCACTGCTGCATATCCTCAAGCGGTAATGCCTCTTATCACTGGTTGCTTTAAGAGTGGTAGGACTATAATTCACTCTGACATCTGCTTTTAGGTGACAAGATAAGTTTGAACTCTACCCCCAATGTCCTTCGTCTGGAAGGATCCTACATTCAGCCATTTAAAGCAAACTATGAAGCCATGAAAGCAAACTTAGAAACTAGCTCTCAAGATCCTCCTCCACGCTGTGAAGAGTTGCTGCTTGACTTCACTTTCTGTAACTTTCTGGGTCACATTTAATGACATACCGAGCATCCTCTCTTAGAAGCAGTCGAAGGGAAACCACAAAGAGGCTCACGCACTGAGCGAGGAAGAGGGAGGGCCTTAATTTGTTTGACTACAAAAACACTAAAAAAGCTTTATCGCACATCACTAAGTAGGACAATGAGGGAAACGTCTCTGCAGTGTCTGATCTGTAAGTGGAATCTTTTGTCTTTTCACACTTCTTTTTACACGTGATGATGGCGACACGCAAGCCAGGCTGAGTTCTGCTGTGAGGGGCCTCCAGGCGTTTTCAGAAAAGAAAGGGAAGAAATCAGGCAGTGAATGAATTAACTCTGCGTTATTGTGAATTTTTGTGAGTAGATAGATGTATTTTCTCTCTGAGGAAGGGAAGTCGGGATGGAAGAACGACGCAGGCCAGTCACTTCTGAGCTTTGTTTTTCCTAAACAGAAGTTAAAATAAAGCCATGTAGCATTGGGTCAGGCTTCCCCATCCATTACACAAAGATGCTGACCCCGACAACAGTCAGTGTGTACCTCAGCTGTCTGTCTAAAGTCCCAGAATCACTCGTCAGCTTACAGCCACAGGAACAAAATGTCAGCAGGAAGGTTTGAGACAATAACTGCTGCGGTTGAGGAGGCATGAATGAGGAGTCAGAGCTGTGTGTGATACATATATATGATATGTTAAATAATTTATATATCTAGCAA